TTTTTTTTTTTTTTTTTTTTAAAAAAAAAAAAGAAATGCTACTCAATCACATTTCAGTGGCTTATTTTATGTTTAGCAGAGTAAACAGTGAATCCTGGTGTTCAGCACGCGTGACCTAAGGTATAAAGAATTAGCTCATATCACCGTCACAATCAAGGTTACCCCAGTTAAATACTTGTTTTCTATTGCTTTCGTGCTGCCCTATAAGCCAAGTATTTATAGTCCTTGCAAAATTAAAGCGTACATAGTAGGAATGTATAATGTCTCGCAAGTGAGGAAAGCCGTTACCATCCAGGCTGTGAGCAGTGAATGAGTTTTGAAGGTCATTCCCTCACGAGCGCAGATATTTCACATCTTGCTCAGATCCACAGTGTTTCCTCACCCAGGCTGTTTCTACGCCTGTTGTTTCTAATTTATGTATTTCTATTTTTACTTAAATACAGAGAAACTGTCCAAAGCATAAGTCATCGTTTTCATACGCAGCGCTGTTAATCACGGCGCACATCTGGGGCGTGAAGCTGCTCGCAGGAAGTTTGTAACGGGTATTTTTGCTGCTGGAGCTCCTGGGTTTGTGCCACTCACCCCAGCAGCAGGGGGGATGTGGATGGACTTTATGCCCCCCCCCCGCCCCCGCAGCGTGGCCCATCTGACAGGTCACCAGGCTTCTGCATGGCTGGGGAAAAGAAAGCAGCACTGGGAGGCAGAGCTGGTTTTAAGAGGTCTTGTTTACTTTTCAGATAACAGCGCTGGTTAAACCTGTCACCAAAATTAACCTCTGGCTGGGCTTGGTAAAGGTGTGTGAGCGGGGCTTCGTTGCTGCTAGATAACACCTGAATATTCTGTTCCGAAATAAAGCCTTTTTTATTTGATTATCCAAAGTTTACTTTGGTAAAATTCCTGTGTTGAACAGGCAGTTTGTTTTCTGAGCTTGGATGAATCCTTCCTCTCTTTTGCCCTACTTTTCTCTCCCGAACAGCCCCTGCTGAGCAGGCGGAGGAGCTCAGCCCCGGGG